CAAGTGGGTCATCCAAATTCTGTATCCGTCGTCAGTTGGGATTCCTCAGGCCTGAATCTGGAGGACGTCTCGAGCGGGAGTCTCGTCTGTGAGTGAACCGCGGGGAGGCCTCGAGCGGGAGCCCCTCCCTGTGGGGCTCCAAATCCATGTTCGAATCCGAGCGGGTCTTCCAAATCCTGTAACGTCCGTCAGTTTCGTGTTCCCCAGGCCTGCACACCTGAACATGCGGGAAGTTTTGAGCGCGAACTTCGTCTGTTAGTGAATTGCGAGAACGTCTCGAGCGGAAGATTTCCCGCTATGGGGTCCCTGCCTACATTTTCGAATCCGAACGGGTCATCCAACTCCTGTATCCTTTGTCACGTTTGGGGTCCTGATGCTTAAATCTTGAGGAGCCCTCGAGCGGGAGCCTCGTCTATGAGTGAGTCGCGAGGAAGTCTCGAGCGGGAACACCTCCCTATGGTGCTTCATTTCCATGCTCGAATCCGAGCGTGCCATCCAATTCCTGTAACGCTCGTCAGTTTCGTGACCTCAGTCCTGAACATGGGGGAAGTTTTTGAGCGCGAGCTTCGTCTGTTTGTGAATTACGAGAAAATTTGAGCAGGAGCCCTTGCCCTGGGGTCCGCCATTCCATGTTCGAATCCGAACGGGTCATCCAAGGACTGTGTCCGTTGTCATTCTTTGGGCCCCGATGCCTGAATCTGGAGGAAGTTTCGAGCGGGAGCCTCGTTTGTGAGTGAGACGCGAGGACGTCTTGAGCGGCAGCCCCGGGAACCCTCTTCTCATGGGGCCCGCACTTCGTGTTAGTAATCCGTGGCGGCCACCCTTAATCAGACCCATAAGCGTCGACAAGGACCAGTAGAGACCAGACAGGAAGAGAAGCCTCCGTAGTCGCAGGGACGACGATCAGGACTGCTTCCACATTAGTTTGGAAGGTTATCATGGGGGGTCCTGCCGTCGGAGTAATTGTTGCGAGCGCGACGAGCAGCCAGTAGGTTGCCTATTCGGGCACCTGGCCGCCGTGACCTCTCGCCTTGCGCCAAGAGGGGGAGGCCTGATGTGCGCCATCCAGACCGTGTTTGAGCTCATCAACCTGGCCACGAACGCAGGTGGTCGCAAGGTGCGCAGGGAGGGCCGGAGCAGATGAGGATTCCGACCACGCGGAGCTCAGACAATGACGAGGGGGCATGAACTGTCTTGCCCGCGCTGGCTCTTCCTCCGCTCATCCTTTCCTCGGACGGCTCTGAACACCTGCTGCGACAGAACAATGGTTGGCAGCAAGGTTCGTGGGGGTTGGAGGGGGTCGAAATCAGCATTAGCACAGACAGGCTCGCTTGGTCTACCCGTGCTTGGGAAGCGTGCTGGACGCGAATTGGACGGCGTTATCGACCGCCACTTCTTCTGAAGTCAACGATGAAGCTGGGCTCCTTTCCCCTCTCCCTCTCTCTCTCTCTCTCGTATTTCTCGTCCTTCTCCGCCTCTTCCACCTCCTACCTCATACAGTCAAGGCGCTCAAATAGGGTCCACGCCGGGTTCAGGTAGGGCTCGGCTTTTCGGGCCGTTCCGCCGAATGATGTAGTGGAGCTTGTTTGTAGCCTGGGCCCACCGTGGCCAGAAAAGCCTCTTCGTTCCTCATCATGCGCTGCTTGTGGTAGTGCGACGACTGTACCTCGTGCATCTACCCCTTCCTCCCTCCCGAGGTGAGGGCGAGGGGGGGAGAAGGGCGAGTATGAGAGGGGGTGAAGGGGCAAGGAAGCAAAGCTACCCATACGCTCGTATTGCTCAAGCTCTCCAGAAGCCAAACCATCACGATACAGCCAACCAAGAAAAGCAGCACCGTCAAGCATGCGCGATTTCACCTGGCGTCTTGGACGAGGTCGACCAGACCTCGCTCTCTCAGCTCCTGCAGCAGCCCGAAATTATCCTGGGGCTCATTCTTGTTGTGATCCTCCACTGGGCCCACGAAGGCCATAAGATTTCAGAACTCGGAAGGTCAAACATATGTGCGGGTCTCACCTGCCCTGTTTTTCCCCCTCGCCCCTCTCTCGTTCCCCTTCCCCTCCCTCCCCTCCCCTCCTCTCAGTTCCCTCCCTCCCTTCCTTCCTCCCGCCCCTTCTTCGCCCCCCCTATACCCCTCCTCCCCTTCCCTCTCTTTTTCTTCTCTCTCTCTCTCTCGCTCTCTGTCCCTCTCTGCTTCCCCTTCCCCTCTTCGAGTTCGCCGCCTTCTGAGGGCTGAGGCCCTGACCACCCACGCCACTAGTGACACGCTCCGGCGCGACTGCGGTGTCTGTCTGTCTGTCTGTCTGTCTGTCTGTCTGTCTGTCTGTCTTTCTGTCTGTCTCCCCCTCTCCACTTCCTTCCTTCGCTCCTCCTCTCCTTCATCCCTCCCCCTCCTCCACTCCTCCCCTCGTCCGCTCCCCTCCTTCGCTCCTCTCCTCCCTCGTCTCCTTCCCCTGCTCGCCCCTCTGACGTCCCTCTCGCTCGCCCTCCCTCCCTCCTTCGCTCTCCCCTCCCTCTCCCTCCCCGCTCTCTCCCTCCCTTTATTTTCTTTTCCCTCCCTCCTCTCCCCTCCTTCGTATAACCTCCTTCCCTTCCTCCCTCCCTCCCTTCGCGGCGGACGAAGGGCGGGATCGGGAATGACGGGGCTGTCAAATCTGCTGCACGCGGCTGGTCTGTGCCCCGCTGCAGGGCGCTGTCCTCGACGCACGGCCGCCTCTGGCGCAGGGCGGCGCCCGTAAAACCAGTCGTGCGAGCGAATCCGCCCCCCAGGAGGGAAGAGCGAGGAGGAGGAGGAGGAGGAGGAGGAGGAGGAGGAGGGCGTGGAGGACGAGGAGGAGGAGGGGCGCGCCTCCCACGGGGGCGCGAAGACAGTCGCGATTCGCGCTTCGTGGTCTTGGCCGGAGCGGCTGCCCTTCTCCAAGAGGGCGGCGCGAGGGCGCGAGGGCGCGAGGGCGCGAATATGAGCGCACGTCGCACACCGCGGGGCGCGATGTGCGAAGTTAGGTGACCCATCTCTGCCATCACCCCTCCTCGCCCGCCCCGACCCCTCCGTGGCGGGAGGGTGGTCAGGGGAGACGACCACGGTGACGCCCGCCGCGGTGGACGGCAACACGATGACCTACACCACGACCGCCCTCGCCCCGGCAGCCTCCTGGGGGGTTGGGGGCAGACGCCAGGGGTAGCGTCGGGGGGGATAGGGGACAGGCCGATCGGGGCCCGGTAGCCCTCCCCGACAGGCCGATCGGGGCCCATAGCCCTCCCCGCCCGGGACGGTGGGTATTCGCTACAGGGGCCCATCGCCGATCTATCGGCGATGTATCGCTGAATCCAGGTCGATGCTCCCCCTTCTTCCTCCCCCCCAAGCTCGAATCCAGGTCGATGTTCCTCCTTGCTTTGCCCCCCCCCCCCCCGAGCTCGAATCCAGGTCAATCTTCCCCCTCTGCTTCCCCCCCCGAGCTCGAATCCAGGTCGATTTTCCCCCCTTGCTTCCCCCCCTCCCCCCCCGAGTTGACCCCCCCAACGCTGCGCCTCAAGACCTGGGGTCTCTCGCGGGGCGCGGCGGGAGCCGAAGAACGCGGAGGCGGCAGCGCAGCTCGAGCGACGAAGCACCGGCAGGGAGCGCCGCGCGAGGGCTGCGGCCTGCTCGGCCTCGTCGTGCTCACTCGCCAGCGCGCCGCAGCAGTCGCGCGCTTCCCCGGCGCGAGCGGAGCCTGGCGCCATCACTCGGGGGTGGATAGACCTCCCACCCTGACACGTCGATTCAGGAATTGGCCGTTTTCGGCTCGCGAGAGGGCGTCGCGGCCGTCATTTTTGCGGGCCCAGGCCCGTCGGTTTCGGTCCCAGGCCGTTTTCACTAAGGGGAGGTTTACTAAAGGGAGGTTTGTCCACCGCCGAATCACCGGCCCTCCCCGTCCGGCCACAGGGCGGGGGAGCCACTGCAGCAGAGTGGTCGGCGGTGGAGGTCGCCCCGCGGCGCTCCGCGGGCGCCCGCCGCCCAGAAGGGGCGGCGCCGCGGTCGTCGAGGGGGCCGCGGCGGGTCCTGCTCTCGTCCCACTGTTGGGGCGGGAGGGGGGCGACGGATGGGCCCCTGATATCGGGGAAACCATCAAGATCGGTCACCAGGCCCTGGAGACCGAACAAGACAGCGAAACTTCTCGAACCCAGACCTCGAGCCCAAACTGTCGGGGGGGGGGACGCAGCCCACCCTGGGGGGACGCAGCCCACCTCCCGCTGTCCCGCCTCCGCCGCTGGGCAATCGCGCCGCCTCGTTCGTGGCAGGGCGCGGCGAAGCAAGTGGGGAGGGGGCCCGGCGCGCCTCTTCGGCCGGGCACGGCGCGCCTCGCCGCGCCACCCGGCGCCAGGGAGTCACCGCCCACCAAACCACCCCAACCCAACCCGAAGGCCCCGATTTGCCCTCCATTTCCAGTGGGGGGGGTCGGGGAACATTGGAAAACACACACATATGAAGCCCGTACCCCCCCCCAACCCGAAATCGGGGTCTTCGGGTTGGGTTGGAGTGGCTTGGTAGGTAGTCAGGGAGCCCTCCCTGGCCGTCCCCAGATTCTGGTAGGGGGTCCCCAGGGTTGGTTAGGGCAGCTTCCTCGATGCAGTGCCCTGACCAAGCCCAGACTGGCCTGACCTCGGAAACGCTGGGTTGACGACGTGGCCAAGTGTTTGCGAGCAGCCAGATACGACACCTCTGAAGGGGACTGGGCCACGCACGCTTGCAACACGGAGACGTGTGCGAACCTGGAGCACAAGTTCGTGTACGAGCAAGTCTGAGTCACCGAGGTGCTCCCACCAACACTCCTCGCAGGGCCGGGCGCTGCCCGAAATGGGGCGCCGTTGCTGTTGCCGATGCCGTTGCCAGTCTTGGCCTGGTGAGAAAGTCCCTCCGGTTTTGTTCCAGAGCAAACGGCAGAAAACTGTCGGGGGTCAGCCGGTTTCTCGGGTCGGCGTGGGACCCCTTGGTGGCGCTTCTGGCGCCGCCCCCAGCGCGCTTCGCGCGCCGGTTGGTGGTGGTCCAGCGCCAGCCCAAGAAAACCCACGCGGACCTCCGGCATCTCATTCCCAACCATCCTGTGGTGCTGGGTCCTCGTTTTGCAGAGACAGCGCCCCGCGTCTCCTCCTCTCCTCTCCTCTCCTCCTCTCCTCTCCTCCTTCTTCCTCCCCCTCCTACCTCCTTACCATCCTCCCATCCCTGCCTCTGCGCTCCGCAGTCAGTACAACGTTTCGTGGCCCCATAGGGAGCTCCACCGAAGGCCCCAGTGCCGGTGTTCACATGCGTGTCCCCCAGTCAGGGCAGCGCTTCGTGGCCCCATAAGGGGGCTCCACCGCAGGCCTTCGTGGCGGTGCTGCGTTTCGTGGCCCCATGGGGAGCTCCACCGAAGGCCTCAGTGGCGGTGTTCGCATGCGCCTCCCCTTCCCAAAACAGCGCTTCGTGGCCCCATGGGGAGCTCCACCGAAGGCCCCAGTGCCGGTATTCGCGTGCGTTTCCTCCGCCCAGTACAGCAATTCGTGGCCCCATAGGGAGCTCCACCGAAGAGCCCAGTGGCGATGTTCGCATGCGTTCCCCCTGCTCAGTGCAGCGCTTCGTGGCCCCATGGGGAGCTCCACCGGAGGCCCCAGTGCCGGTGTTCGCATGCGTTTCCCCCACCCAGTACAGCGCTTCGTGGCCCCATAGGGAGCTTCATCGAAGGCCCCAGTGGCGGTGTTCGCATGCGTTCCCTCCACTCACTGCAGCGCTTTGTGGCCCCATAGGGAGCTCCACCGAAGGCCCCAGTGCCGGTGTTCGCATGCGTGTCCCCCAGTCAGTGCAGCGCTTCGTGGCCCCATGGGGAGCTCCAACGAAAATCTCAGTGGCGGTGTTCGCATGCGTGTCCCGCACTCAGTGCAGCGCTTCGTGGCTCCATGGGGAGCTCCACCGAAGAGCCCAGTGGCGATGTTCGCATGCGTTCCCCCTACTCAGTGCAGCGCTTCGTGGCCCCATGGGGAGCTCCACCGGAGGCCCCAGTGCCTGTGTTCGCGTGCGTCTCCCCCCACTCAGAACACTCCTTCGTGGGTCCATAGGAAGCTCCACCGAAGGGTCCAGTGGCGGTGTTCGCATGCCCCCCTCACCCAGTGCAGCGTTTCGTGGCCCCATGGGGAGCTCCACCGAAGGCCCCAGTGCCGGTGTTCGCATGCGTTTCCCCCATCCAGTAGAGCAATTCGTGGCCCCATAGGGAGCTCCACTGAAGATCTTAGTGGCGATGTTCGCATGCGTTCCCCCCACCTAGTGCAGCGCTTCGTGGCCCCATGGGGAGCTCCACCGAAGGCTTTAGTGGCACTGCTCGCATGCATCTTCCCCGCACAGCACAACGTTTCGAGGCCCTATGGGCAGCTCCACCGAAGGCCCGTTCGCATGCGTCTCCCCCGCCCAGTACAGCGCTTCGTGGCCCCATAGGGAGCTCCACCGAAGGCCCCCGTGGCGGGGTTCGCATGCGGTTCCCCCGCTCAGCACAGCGTTTCGTGGACCCGTGGGGAGCTCCACCGAAGGCCCCGGTGCCGGTGTTCGCGTGCATCTCCCCCACCCAGTGCGGCGCTTCGTCGCCCCGTAGGGATCTCCACGGAAGGCCCCAGTGGCGGTGTTCGCATGCGCTCCCCCCGTCCAATACAGTGTTTGGGGGTCCCATGAGGATGTCCCCCGAAGGCGATATCCGCAACGACGGTACTCACAACTGCATCTGGTTGGGTCCTTCGCCATGATCGTGTTTGTGCTGTTTTTTGTTGCTCTGGGGAGGTCGGCTCCAAAGCGACCCCTCCAGCTGGCCTTGGTTCGGGAGCTACTTCGTGGCTGACATGGCCGTCGCGGAAAGGATTCGCGCTGATCCGGGTTAGCGCGTCGTCAGGATTGCGGAGAGGTATGATCATGTAGTTCCAGGAGGTGTTCCGCGAGATCACCGTTTTCCAAGAGGAGCCGCCCGTGTGCGTAACTGTTGCGCATGCTACCATTTCTGGTCATGGACTTCGAGGAAGTCTCAAGAAGTGATACTACCCATCTTGAAGAGGAGCCGTCCTCCGTCCTTGTCACCGCTGCAGGCTTTTGAGACGAATGCGTGCGGCGCCGAGGAGAGAGCCCACTTTTGACAAGGACCCGTCTTCCGTCCCTGCAACTGCTGCAACGTTTGAACAGACTGCGCGCGCCGCTAGGGCGGCAGCTCCATTTTGAAGACGATCCCCGTCCATCCCTGTAACTGTTACAGGCTTTTACGACGAGTGTGCAAGGCGCTGTGACGAGGAGGGGGAGGAGTGAGGGATCAGGATCATGATGAGGGGGAGGCGGAGGAGGAGGAGGAGGAGGAGGAGGAGGAGGAGGAGGAGGAGGAGGAGGAGGAGGGGGAGGAGAGGAGGAGGAGGAGCAGGAGGGGAGGAGGGAAGAGGAGGAGCAGGAGGAGGAGGAGGAGGAGGAGGGGGAGGAGGAGGAGGAGCAGGAGGAGGAGGAGGAGGAAGAGGAGGAGGAGGAGGGGGAGGAGGAGGAGGAGGAGGATCTGGAGGAACGGTAGGGCCTGCTCCGCGGCGCGGCCGCCCACGGCGCGCGCGCGCGCTCGCCGCGCTGCCGGGCGGTCCGGAGACCCCGCCGAGGTAGAGACCCACCCGTTCTTTGACGAGGCCGCCGCACCGTTTTCCCCCCTTCCCCGGTGAGCTTGCGTTGTGATCTTCGAACGTCTCTGCTCGGGGGCGGAAAAGAGGGGGGTGATGACTAGGGGGGGGGGGTGGATATCATGGCGTGGGCCATGATATTTCCCCAGATTTCATGGCGCCTCTTCTCATTTCTTTACGTTCCTGGCCCCCCCGCTGGGCCGCGCACATGCCGCCGGTCATGATTTGCACCCCCCCGTCTTGGACACCCCCCTCTTGGCCGCTCCCGATTCTGCATTTTGCCCACGCCCCATTCGCTGCCGACGTGCCTCGCGACTGGAGGCGTCGCCGCCTGTCCTTCGACAGCCTGGGCTCGGCGTCGCCCCAGCATGCTGATACCATGTGTGCGCTGATGCATCTCGGGGCGACGCGCGCACCGAGAAATCGCACAGCACATGCGCCGTGGCGGGCACTTTCTGGCCACACCGCTCGGGAAACGATCTGTTGCAACATGGGCATACTACGTGTTCGGGTCGGACGTGCGCCTCCAAGGAGGACATCTAGTGCCAGCATGCCTCTGTGCGTCCCACGGGCTGACCGTGCCACCCTGGCACAGTGCCCGAGGCAGCCCGTACGCTTTCGCCCTGTCGACTCTCGGCGGCTCGGGCCGCCTTCCTTCCCGTGCCTCCTTGGCCGCGGCCGCCCTCTTCCCGTCCACCTGTCTTCAGTGTGCCCAGCGTACGCCCCCTGAGATCCCTCAGCTCAGCGATCCGGCCTCCGAGCGGCACACCGAAGTCCCTCGCTTCAGCAAACCTCGCCTCCCCAGTCGCCATGTGGAGGCGCTCAGGGGCCCGATCGCCGAGCTGAAGATTTTCAGGGTGCGCACAGAGCCCGTCGCGGCCTGCTGGCACAGCAGGTGCGCTTGCAACCGCCAGCGCCGCCGACGAGAGGCCAAAATGAACTCCCGTCCGCTCGCGACAGCGGCCGTCACCGGGCGGGACGGGAAGGGCCGCCATGGGGGACAGGGGTCCTGAGGGACACGAGTCCTGAGGTTTCTGGTCCTCCTCGGCCCTCGGGGCCCCCTCCACGGGCTCCGCCTCCTGGAGGCACCTCGGGGGCCTCCTTGTGCCCCTCGGGGGGCCCTCGGGGGCTTCTCGGGGGCCTCTTCGGCCGTCTCGGGGCATTCCTGGCCCGTCCGGCGCCGTCGGAGGCCGTGTGTGGCGACCCGTTGCCGCACACCTCGAAGGCACCCCTCGGGAAGCCATCCTTGCAGACTGCGCATGATCTCGTCCCCGCGTTCTCCCTGTCCTCGGCCCGGCGTTGCAGGGCCGTCTTGGAGGCCATGTGGGGTGCCTTGGAGGCCTGCTGGGTAGTCTCGGGACCCCCTTGGGGCCGTCTACGTAGGGGGCCTTTTGGGCCGTCACGGCGCGATCTTGGAGACCTCTCGGGCGATCTTGGAGCCAGCTTGGGGGCATCTCGGGTCGTCTGGGGCCGCGGAAAATCTGCAGGATGCCAATCCCCGAATCCTTCAGAAAGCGAAAGGCACATCGATTAGTCTGCGTTCATCGGGCTTTCCAGGAGGACCTCTTGGAGGCCTCTGGGGCCGTCTTGGAGGCATCTTGGGACAATCTGGGGCACAGAGAGGCACGCATCCTCACGAATCGCCACGGCGCTTGGAGCAAGATCTGGGCCTGGCGATAGATCGGCTGGGAGGCACACCTCGAGCACCACCCAGAGCTCTGGCCAGCCCGCGTGTTGAAATTCCATGGTTCGGCTTGGCTGCGCGGCAGCGCCGGCGCGAGGCTGGCAGCGCGAGCCTCTTCGCAGGCCGCCTTCGGACCAGAGCCAGGGCCGGAGGTGTGGCGCTGCGATGGGACGAGTCCCACCCCCCTCTTCCCTCCCGCACCTGGCCTTGCCTCCCTCCCCTCCCGGCTCTTCCTCCCCCCTGGTTTGCAGCGACGGTTGTTTTGCTGCATTTCGGTTTTCGTAGTCAGTCGTAGTCTTAAGTCGGGCGCGTCCCTCTACAGGGGGAATATTCAAAAATAATGGAGTCTGGGGACCATTTTGTGAATATTTTTGAATATGTTTTGAGACAGTTCTGCATTTTTCGTCCAAGATCCCCATGTAGGGGGACAGGCCCGACCTAATCGTAGTCAGAAGCTGTTCACACGTTGTTCGATCGCGTCTCAATCAAAACCTTCGGCGCTACCCGCGGGCCATCTCGTCCATCTTGGAGGCCACCTCGGCCGTCCTGGAGGTCATCTTGGCCGTCCGGAGGCCATCTTGGGCGTCTTGGAGGCCTCTTGGGACGTCTTGGGGCCTCCTGGGGATGGCTTGGGGGCCTCTTGGGCTGTTCTTCTGGAGCCATCTTGGAGGCCCCTGGGCCGATTTTGAGGACCCCTTGGGCCGTCTTGGGCGGTTGGACCACGAAAGCGTAGGAAAACCCATTTTGGCTCCCTCGGGCCTTCCTGGAGAACCTTTTGGGAGCCTCCGGTTCCATCTTGGAAGCCTTTGGGGCCCATCGTCGGCCATCTTGGCCGTTGTAGTGGCCATCTTGGCCGTCTTGGAAGTTATCCTTGGCCGTCTTGGGGGCATTGTGGAGGCCGTCTGGGCGTCTTGGAAGGCTCTTGGGCCCTCTTGGGGGCCTCTTGGGGCTGGCTTGGGGGCCTCTTGAGCAGTTCTGGAGCCATCCTGGAGGCCTCTGGGGCGATTTTGGGGACTCCTTGGGCCGTCGTGGGCGGTCGGAACACAAAAACGGAGGAAAGTCCAAAATCCCTCAAAAACCTTTCTGGAACATCAATGATTTTGGCCTCTTCAGGCTTTCCTGGAGGACCTCTTGGAGGCCTGGTGGGCCGCTTTGGAAACCTCTTGGAGGCCTCTGGGGCCGTCTTGGGCCATCTTCGACCCTCTTGGGCCGTCTTGGAGGCCATTTTGGACCATCTTAGAGGCCATCTTGGACCATCTTAGAGGCCATCTTGGGCCAACGTGGCCACCTTCGAGGCCATCTTCAGCCGTCTTGGCGGATTTTTTGTGGACGTTGAGGTCCTTTCTGGTGCCTTTATGGTCCTTTGTGCGGCCCTCTGGGTGGTCGGCGGGACGGGCCGAAGGCCCAGGGGAGAGTTCTTTTGGAATAATCCCCGAAACCAAGAACGATAGGATTTTGGACGCCGGGCACCCGTGTGGCAAGTTAACAGGGAGCGGCGGATTATTAGTCGAATGGCCTTCGGCCCATCCCGCCACCGTGGCTGGGTTGTGGGTATGGAGCCTATTGGATGTTCGTTGGGATCTCGCGGGAGGCCTCTCGGGGAGGCAGTGGAGGCCTCTTGGGAGCCGTTTCGGGGCCTCTTGGGGGCCGTTTCGGGGCCTCTTGAGGCCTTTTGGGGGCCTTTTGGGAGCCTCTTAAGGCCTCCCGGGCGCCTCTTGGGGCCTCCTGGTGGCCTCTTTGGGCGGAAGGGTCGGATTTTCGGTTCGTGGTCCCCTCCTTCCGCCCAGCGTGCGGATTTGCGATCGGGGGCCTATCACTGATCTATTGTCGATGTATCGCCGATTCCAGCTCGACGTTTCCACCCCCTGAGCCAGTCGTCGTCGTTTTGTCGTCGTCGTCGCCGTCGTCGTCGTCGTCGTCGTCGTCGTCGTCGTCGTCGTCGTCGTCGTCCTCGTCGTCGTTCGGAGAAGAACACATGGCATAAATATGAAGTTCTGGAGCTACGCGAGGAGTTCTTCTTTTACAGTCGCAAGAGTCCATACGTTGCAACATTCACAGGGGTCTTATGCTATCCGAATGTTCCACACGGGATGCAGAGACGAGGGCCGCTACAAGCTCTGGAATTCTTGGGGCCCTTCTTGAGCCATGACATCGTTCTCGTCCTGATGTCGGTTTCATGGTTGTCGTCGCTGCCGTCGTTTTCGTCGGCGTCTTCGTCGCCGTCATGTTCGCGTTCGTCATCGTCGTAGTTGTCGTCGTTCGTCGTCTTCGTCGCCGTTGTCGTCGTCGGCAGCTTCGTGGCCGTCGTCGCCATCGTCGTCGGTCGTCGTCTCCCTCACGCGTGTCTGGGGGATGATGAAGGGAGGCGAGGACGAGGAGGAGGAGGAGTGAGCAGGACGAGGCGGAGGAGGAGGAGGAGGAGGAGGAGGAGGAGGAGGAGGAGGAGGAGGAGGAGGAGGAGGAGGAGGAGGAGGAGGACGAGGAACGAGGAGGAGGAGGAGGATGAGAAGGAGGAGGAGGACGAGGACGTTGACAACGTCGCAGGGAACGGGGCAGGACGAGCATGGGGAACCTGACGCCTACTCTGCCATCCCCCGACCCCCAGACGAGATTTGCGGCTTCCGATTTCTTCCCGTGGTGTTGCCTGCGCGTAGTTGCTGCTGATTCGGATTCCCCTCCCTGCGCGTCTGTTTCGGGGCTTCGTGGGGGCAGCCCCTTGGAGCCTTTTGAGGGCTCCGAGGGGGTTTGGGGCTGGAAGCCTCGTGAGTTGACTGTGGAGCAATGTTTGGGCCGCCGCGGGAGTCCGCAGGGCCCTGGCAGGTCGCCTGGCGCGTCCCTTGGGACGTTCCGCGGCGCGTCGTCCGGGCATGTCCCCCTGTAAACTAGCTCTGGGGCAGCCGCGATGTGCTCAGGCAGCTGAGCTTGAGATCCAGATCGGTTCGGTCAGGACTCGGATGCAAAGGATGACTCGATCCACAACGCTATAGAGCACAATCGCGGCATGGCACATCGCAATTCAGCGCGGCGCAGCACAGCACAGCCCTCGGCACGGTACATCAAGATTGATACACTCAGCATTGCAACCTGGCACGTTCCGTGGCGCGTCCCGTGGCGAGTCTCCCTGGCACGTCGCGCGGCGCGTCCCCTGGCACGTCCCGTGGCACGTCCATTGGCACGTTCCGTAGCGCGTCCCCTTGGCACGTCCCGCGGTGCGTCCCCATGGCACGGCCCCTGGCAGGTCGCCTGGCGCGTTCCTTGGGACGTTCCGCGGCGCGTCCTCCTGGCATGTCCCCCTGTCAAGTTATCTCTGAGGCAGCGACTATGTGCTCGAGCAACACGAGCTTGAGATCCAGTTCAGTTCGGGCAGGACTCGGATGCAAAGGAGGACTCGATCCACAACGCTATAGAGCACAATCGCGGCATGGCACATCGCAATTCAGCGCGGCGCAGCACAGCACAGCCCTCGGCACGGTACATCAAGATTGATACACTCAGCATTGCAACCTGGCACGTTCCGTGGCGCGTCCCGTGGCGAATCCCCCTGGCACGTCGCGCGGCGCGCCCCCTGGCACGTCCCGTGTTACGTCCATTGGCACATTCTGTAGCGCGTGTCCTTGGCACGTCCCGCGGTGCGTCCCCATGGCACGTCCCCTGGCAGGTCGCTTGGCGCGTCCCTTGGGATGTTCCGCGGCGCGTCCTCCTGGCATGTGCCCCTGTCAATTAGCTTTGAGGCAGCGACTATGTGCTCGAGCAACACGAGCTTAAGACCCAGTTCAGTTCGGACAGGACTCGGATGCAAAGGAGGACTCGATCCACAACGCTATAGAGCACAATCGTGGCATGGCACATCGCAATTCAGCGCGGCGCAGCACAGGACAGCCCTCGGCGCGGCACATCAAGATCGAAACACTCAGCATCGCATTTGCCCGTCGCCCAATCAGGTGTCTTTGAAACGTTGCCATGCCCTACAATTCTATGTTCCTTTCCGGGTTCGTGGGTCGATCATGTTGGGGCCTCGCGAAGTCCTTCTGGAGCCTTCCTGGAGCGTCTTGGGCGCTTCTTGGGCCGTCTTGGGACCAGCGTGGGCCACCTTGCCCTGAGGCTGGGGGGCCTGCCACCCATTTGGCGCATCATTGGGTCGCTCCGGGGGCCCCTGAGGCCGCGCCCAGGAGTCCCTGCTGGGACCCTGCCGGGGCCTTGCCGGGAGCTTGCCAGGACCTTGCCGGGACCTTGCAGGGACCTTGCCGAGGTAGTTTTCGTCGGGGGACCCCCAGGGGCTGCCACGCGCGCGCGAATTGAAAACATTCTTAAACTCTTACTGGAGATTTTAGCACGCCTCCGGCCCGTTGGGCCGGCGAATTTTCATTGTGGGAAGTGTCCAGTTGGAAGAGCCATCGTCTGAGAACCCCGACTCGTGCCCAAACACACTTCTTGTGATTTTAGTGCTGCGGATTCGCGCTATTGTTGCGTCCTGACGATCCTGAAAGTGCCAGAACGTTAACACCGCGAATCAGGGTGACTGCTGCGCTTGACGCTCGTAAATCGTGGTGCGGGAACAGCTTTCCTGAGTCGTTAACCATGGGAACCTTTGAAGACGAATGCGCGCGGCGCTAAGGCCAGAGCCACATTTCGAGAAGGACCCGCCCTCCATCCGTGAAGCTCTAGTACACTGTTGGGACGACTGTGCTCAGGAGGGGAAAAAACACACAGACACAATTAATCGTCGACTCCCTAGAACATATGGCAAAATATGGGAAGTGGGGGGGACGACAGAACCCCCGAAAATATGGGGAAATATGGGGAATCCTTTTATTTGTGTGTATTTATTTGTGTGTCCTGGGGCCCCTTCAGTGGTTCTGCGGCGAGGGCCACCTTTGGAAAAGGCGCCGCCCCCCATCCGTGCAGCCAGGGCCACGTCTGAAGGCGACTGCGCGCGGCGTGGAGGCGAGAGCAACACTTTCGGGGACGTCACGCCCTCCATCCGTGAAGCTCTTGCAGACTTTGGGGCGAATGCGCGCGGCGCTGAGGCGAGAGCCGCGTTTTTGTCAAACGACCCGCCGTCACCTCCGTGAAGCTCCTTCAGATTTTCGAGACGACTGTGCGCGGCGTTCCGGCGAAAACTGCATTTTGAGAACGACCCGGCGCCCATCCGTCCATCCGTGAAGCTCCTTCCGTTTTTTGGGGGCGAAGGCGCGCGGCGCGAAGGCGAGAGCCGCATTTTGAACACGGCCCGCCCCCCATCCGCGAAGCTGCTCGCATTTCTTACAGCTCCAGGACCATACACTTGTGAGGAAGTCTTAGGCGAAACGCTCGGCCCTTCCTACCGACAAGTCTCGGGGTGCGACAGGTAGGAGTTATTCATAAAGAAATAGGAGATGGAGGAGGAGGAGGAGGAGGAGGAGGAGGAGGAGGAGGAGGGGGAGGAGGAACGTTGCCGGAATAAATCCTCCCACCGGGCTTCTTTTGCATAGGCAAGGATGCGCTGCCACGGGGGGAAGTGCCCCGTTGGCAGACAACCGTTTGAAGATCCTGAAGCGTGCCAGAACATTTTTCTCGGGACTCCAACGCTACGAATCAATCTGATTGCTGCGTCTTGACAATCCGAAATCTTGCCAGAACACCATTCCAGGGATTTCACCACCATGAGTCAACCTAACTGTTGCGCCTTGGTAACCCTGATTCGCTCCCAAACACAGTTTTTATTATTTTATCCATGCGAATATTTTGGCCTCTAGGATTTGTTTAGAACGCATGTCCGCAGCGCTAAGGCGATAACAACATTTTGAAAAAGGTTCCGCCCTCCATCCATAAAGCTTTTGCAAACGTTGAAGACGAGTGTGCGCGGCGAGAAGGCGTAGCCACATTGGAAAGGGGCCTGCCATCATTCCGTGAAGTTTTTTGTGTGTGGCAAAAAACAAACGCCTGTGCGAGTTGCTAAGGCTAGAACCACATTTTGGAAGCGGCTCGCCCTCCATCTGTGAAGGTTTTGCTAATTTTGAAGCTCCAGTATTATACGTGCTGAGGAAGTCTCAAGCGAAACGCCCAGCTCGCCTTTTCGACCGGCCTCTGGGTGCGACAGGGAGGAATGATTTACAAGGAAAAGGAAAGGAGGATGAGGAGGAGGAAGAGGAGGAGAATGGGGAGGAGCCGGAGGAGGAGCAAGAGGAGTTGGAGGAGGGAGGAGAGTGACAGGTCGATGATGTAATGCGCGGTTTCGCAGTGTGGGTGCTCGGGTATCATTGCGGCTGAGCTTGAGCAGGTGGCGTAGGACAGGGCGGGGGGAGGAGGGAGAAGACGGCCTGGAGGGGATGTGCAGGGAACGGCCAGAGGGACCGGGACTGCGGTGAAGCGATGCGTGGGGGCACTTGGTTTGCTTCTTCTCTCTCAACCTCCGCCACTGTCGCCGACTCTTTCTTTCTCCTGGACCTTTTTCTCCTTCTCCTCCCTCACCCGCGGGCTCGCCCTGCCTCTGGCCTGCCCCTCCCTCGTCCTCCTCTGATCTGCCCTGCCTCTCCTGTCCTCTCTGGCCCTGGCATCGCTCGGACGTGTGCATTTCTTCTCGGCGAGAACCATCGAGGAACATCCTTGATCATTTGGCGAAAAAACCACGCACGAAACCGAACAAAACACAGGGAATGGACGTCCGAGCGATGGCGAGTGGCGCCCCTTCCCCACGCCGTTCTCCGCTCGCCCCCGCCGCCCCCGCCCCCTTTGTTGCACTCTTCGTGCTCCGCCTCCCTCTCCCGCTCTCCGCTCGTGCTCCTCTCTTCTGTTCCTCGCCCTATCCCGCTCGGCCTCCCTCTGCCTCCCTCGCCGCTCCACCTTCGCCCTCGTCCTCTCTCTCTCTCTCGCGTTTGGCTCCTTCTCGCCGTCCTGTTTCCTCCCCTTTCTCATCCTCTCCCCTAGTCGTCTGTAGCTCCCCCATCAGTGCTTGCACTGAAGGGGCCCTAGCGGAAGTTGAAAGATTTGGCGAAAGTTTCCCGCCGATTTTGGTGGCAGGCTGGGTTCCCGGGTTCCCGGTTCCGGGTTCCCGGGTTCCCGGTTGCTGGTTTTGGGCCGATTTCAGTGGGTTCTGGGTTCCCGGGCTCCCGGGTCCCCGGTCGATCTCCTCAGCGAAAACCGTCCACCGATTGGTTTTTTTCTCTGGTGCAATTCGCTTTTGGCTTCTCTTCTCCAGTCTCCGTGTCCACTGGGGCGAGGCACAGGGGTGGCATTACAATTTCCAGTCCGCGACCATGGTGGCGGCTCCGGTGCGGCGTCGGGCCGCGGGGGGGTGGGGCCACGGGGCAGGGAAGAAGGCGATGTGCTGCTGCTGCTGCTGATGCTGTTGCTGTTGCTGCTGCTGCTGCTGCTGCTGCTGCTGCTGATGATGAGATTGGTGATGATGACGATGACGATGACGATACGAAGACGATACGATGACGACGATGATGATGATGTTGATGATGAGGATGAGGATGATGATGATGATGATGGTGATGATGATGATGATGATCATGATGATGAAGATTATGCTGATGCCGGTGATGGTGATGGTGATGGTGATGGTGGTGGTGGTGGTGATGTTGATGGTGATGTTGATGATGCTGATGCTGCTGATGATGACGGTGATGGTGATGGTGATGGCGGTGGTGGTGATGATGGTGATGCTGATGATGATGGTGATGGTGGTGATGGTGATGGTGATGGTGGTGATGGTGATGCTGATGATGATAATGCTGCTGATGTTGATGATGATGATGATGAGGAGGAGGAGGAGGACGAAGAGGAGCAAGAAGATGAGAAGGAGGAGGAGGACGACATGGGGAGGTGGAGGTGGAGCAGAAGAAGGGGGAGGTGGAGAGGAGGAGGAGGAGAAGAAGGGGGGTGGGAGGATCATTGGACTCCCCTTCCACCTTACTCTTCCCTCCTCCGTCGCCTCCTCGTTCTCCTTCCGCTTCGGCGGCTCGTTCTTTCGCTTCCCTTGTCGCCCTCGGTTATTCCCTTGCCTCTTTCGCTCCCTCTTCCTTCCCTTCCTTTTTCTTCCTTTCCTCCCTCCCTCCCTCCTTTGTTCCCCCTCTCTCCCTCTCTCGCTTGCTCCCTCCCTTTCGTGCCTTCCTTCCCTCTCTCTCTCTCTCTCTCCCTCCTCCCTCCCTCTTTCCCTCCCTTCCCACTCTCCTCCCTCCTCTGTTCCCTCTTTTCCCCCTTACTCCCCCTCGTTATTCTCCCGTTCCGTCCCCCCCATCTTCCCTCTTTCCTCTTCTCACTTCCCTTCTCCTCCTTCTCCTGCTCTTCTTTCATTATTCATATTTTGTTTTTCGCCATCCCTCCTCCTCACCGTCATCCTTGCTGTCTGTTCGGCGCTGGCCGGGCCACCGTCGATTGGGGCAGGTTGTGATGTTCCTTGGCGGCGCCCTGGCCTATGTGTCTTACAGGCGCACCCGCTGCTTCTGTTCAGATGCTTGGAGTGACGTCCTCCTTCCCCTTCCTGCTCGTGCATCTGCTTGCTCCTGCTGCTGCTCCTTTCCATTGTCCCTTCTCCTTTTCCCGCTCCTCTTGTTCACCCCAATCCATAGTTTCCCTCTTCGTCATCGTCGCCGTTGCCGCCGCCGCCGCCGTCGCCTTCGCCGCCGCCGCAATCGTCGTCGTCGTCGTCGTCGTCGTCGTCGTCGTCGTCGTCATGTTCATCCTCCTCCTCCTCCTCCTCCTCCTCCTCTTCCTCCTCTTCCTCTTCTTCCTCCTCTTCCTCCTCTTTCTCTTCCTCCTCCATTCTTCTTCCTTGTGAATAACTCCTTCCTGTCGCACCCTGAGGCCAGTCTGCAGGGCGGGCTGGGCGTTTTGCTCGAGACTCCCTTACCACTTATGAGCCTGACGTTTAAAAGTTGGCAACAGTTTCACACATGTAGGGCGTGCCGCTTCCAACATGTGGCTCTCGCCTTAGCGCCGCGCGCATTCTTGTAAACATTGTAAGGGTTTCAAGCATTGAGGGCGGGTCGTTTTCACAATGTGGCTCTCGCCTTAGCGCCGCGCGCATTCGTTTAAACACATTGTAGAAGCTTCACGAATTGAGTCTGGGTCGTTTTCAAAATGTGGTTCTCGCTTCAGTGCCGCGCGCACTCGTTAAAAACCATAGCGCGTGTTTCACGGATTGAGGGCGGGTGCTTTGAAAATGTGGCTCTCGCCTCAGTGCCGCGCACATTTGTTTCAAACGTTGGCAGGAGTTTCACGGATTGACGGCGGTTCCTGAATTCAACATTTGCAAGAGTTCCATGGATTTTTATTGCGAACGTGCCAGCAATTGCGGTTGGAGCGATTCTAGATTGCCAGGGCGCAACAGTTCCGTTGATTCGCGGTGTTGAAATCCCAGGACTGGTGTTCTGGCGCGGTTCAGGATCGTCAAGACCCAACAGTCAGGCTGACTAGTGGCGTTGAAGTCCGGTGTTTTGGGACGCTTGAGAATTTTCGCACGGTTGTCCCACAACGTGGCAATTCCATCAGGGAAATGAAACTTGTTAGGGGCAAATGAAGAGGGAGCTTGGAGGGAGGGTGCATTCCAACATCGTTGTTTGGTCTTGTTTTTGCACCGGCCCTCCTCCCCTTCCTCCTCCTCCTCCTCCTCCTCGTCCTCCTCCTCCTCCTCCTCCTCCTCCTCCTCCTCCTCCTCCTCCCCGCCCAGGAGCGCCACAGAGCCCCGAGCATGTCCCCCCCTCTCCTCCGCAGCGAGCTTGGCCCCAAGGCACCGCGCGCAGGGAGGCCCTCGCATGGTGCACCGGAGGCCTGGAGTTGACGGGCGTGCCCGGGCGGCGGCCAGCGTGCGCGGCTGCCAAGGCGAACCAGGGCCAGGGCTGGCCACATCAGGTCGTCGTCGTCGTCGTCATCATCGTCGTCGAACTACTGGCTCTGTTCGGCGCGACGCCTCGCCGCGCTGTCGGCGCAGCGCCCCCGCGGGCGGCGGGGCGCCCTCGCCAGGGGCCTCGCGAGACGGTGCGACGAGCAACGCTAACAAAAACAGTGAAAAGGGGTACCGCGGGTGGGGTGGCTCCAGATCCTCCACTCCAGCTCATTTTGACGACGGCGCTCGCTGTGCTCATAGGACCACAGACAAACTGATTTTCGAGGGGCGAATCGATGTCCCGTCGGATGATGAGGTACGTGCTCTTGATGGGAGTGCTGTATCAGATGAAGAGTTCTATTCTGATAATTCTGGTCCTTTTGCTTCACGTGAAGAACTGGATGAGTCTAATGAACCAGAGGTTTGAACCAGAGGTTCTGGTTGCCCAGCAGGGTGCACCCTTTCAGGCCCCCCAGACCCATCTTGGGGGCCTTCCTGCAGCAGTTCAGGAACCAGGAAATGACGCAACATTGCAGAAGGTTGATGAGCATGTTGCAGGGCACACTCAGCAGATTGACGATCTCAGAGAGCTCCTGAACACTTTGTGCCTGGAGTTTGTTGGGGCTAAGCGGGCGAAGCGCCAATCTGATTTGGAGTCTTGGCAGTCTCAGTTGGAGGCCCTTCCCAAGACCTTTGCACCAGAGCAGACCCAGGCAACCCACCAGGACTCCAGTCTGGCGTCCATGTCTGCGGGTTTGGCGAAGTATTTCCCCGTGGATGCCCATAATCATCTTGTTGCTGCTCGGTACTTCGCACAGCTTCGAGAGCATGCAGCAGCTGACGTCATTGCCCATGATCGGCTTCCTCCTTGCCCTGCTCAGTTTGTCTAAGTTGGGTGACTCTCCCCCGCGATGACGTTGCCGCACCTGCCAAGAAATCAGACCTGACCACTGAGCAAGCGGTGCCCTGGGCAAACACGTCGCCTTATGTGCAGACATATTCTGAGGCGGCTGTTGCAGAAGGTCTGGGTGATGGCGCTTTTTATCCGACCCGGAATGGAAGTCAGGAGCCGTCTTTCTGTGTCGCACATTCACCCGCCCACCAGGGTCAGGAACCGTTTCTTCTATGTCAAGCAAGGCCCATGCATGGTTCTGTGAGCGACGATGGAGGGCGGATGCATGTGCGATAAGACAAATCGTTTCTTTGTCGCACATTCACCCGCCCCCCACCGTCGCTCACAGAACCATGCATGGGTCTTGCTTTCTGTGAACGCCAAGTTTTTGGTGAACGCTGATAATGATCTCAATGCAAACCAGTGCGAGCTTGATGCTATGGTGGACAAGAGTTCAGTCGGATTCCCGACTCTTTTGATTCAGCAGCTAGTAGTGCGCACCGTCTTTTGCTGCATGCGCACTTCCATTGGTTTGTTCGTGTTGCAGGTGGTTTGCGTTCGGGGGTGGTCTTGATGTCGCAGCATTCAAGTGCTCTCTCGGACATGCCAGTTGCTGAACGTGTCCTACTCCCGACGCCTCAGCGCTGCGTCGTCAAGTTATAGCGCGGCCTGGTGGATGCGGGAGCCCCCATGGGTGAATCCCTGATCGCGCCCCAGTTGTCGATGCAGGTAGCAGCACTTGTCAGAACGATCGGGTCTCCTCACCTTATCTCGGCTGGTCGGGGCATGTCTCCCGATGATTTGACTGCCGCGGGATTCGTGGAACTAACTACTGGGTGGTGTAATGAACGCGCCAGGTGAGAACGCGCATGTAAGCGCGGGTGCAGACTCCAAGATTGATTATTCTGTGGCCCGTTATGTTGTCCAATTCCGCAGAATGCAAATTGTTTGCCTCGCCTCTCACTCCCAAGTATCAGCCAATAACGCTACGTGTCAAGGAATTCGCGGGGCGCGATTTGGTTACTATCTTGCGGAAGCATCCAGTCATCCCTGCCCGCCGTCCCATCGGGCCCGCTGCGCCGCCGCCCTCTTGGGGGCTGTTCCCTATGCATTCGGATGGCGTCTTGGGTGTGGTTCTCGAAGCATTCAGATGGCGCCGTGCCCTCTGAGGATCTCGACATCCGCGCTCGACAGTGGTTTAAGACTTCGGCTGGGCAGCCAGTTGCGATTTTTCATACTCCAGAGGCGTTTCCAGATCACTGGGGTGAACATCCCATTGCTTTGAATCCATGTGCGCCGATAGGACCACCCTTCGGTCGATGAGGAGGTGCGGTGTGGGGGGGGGGGGAAGGGGATGTGCGATCGACTTGCGATGGCTCTGAGTACTTGCTGGTATTGGTGGTGGCGATGGTGATGGAGGTGGTGGTGGGTGGCGATGCTCTCTCTCTCTCTCTGTCCCTCTCGGTCTTTCTCCATCTATCTACCTATCTCTGTATGTATATAGTTATCCCTTCCTCTATCTATCTCTCTCTGTGTATCCAGCTATTTGTTTAATTGCACATATACAAACCTGCTTGGTCACTTACCTATATGGTTATCAGTCTAGCTAAGTACCTACCTATATATCTATGTGTATTGATAACTAACTATACCTATCAAATTACCTGTATAAATATTGATGTTTCTATCTCCTTATTTATATATTTGTATTCAATTACCCTCTATCTACTTACCCCTCTATTTACCTGATGGTGTTGATGATGACGGTGAGTGGTTGTGGTTGTGGTGGCGGTAATGTGGCGCGATTTTTTCCACGCACAGGCTGGTGCGCCATAGCGCGATGCCAGCCTTGCTGGGTTGCGCGCCCAGTTCTATGCCGAACGCCCGTGCCCGCTGTGGTGGCGCATGCTCTAACGGCTGCGCACTCGAAGAAAAACGCACCCCCATTGCAGTGCCGCGCGTGTTCGGAGCACTGGTAGTGCTTGGTGCCACTCAGTCGCGCGGCGACAAGTACACGTAGTGGGCGTCGTTGTTGCCGAGATATATAACGTCGCCAGCGCCGCCCAAAAGCGACGCAGCGGCATGCGTGGGCGGCGCCCACGGCGAGACTGCATGACCGGCGTGTACGGAATGCCGCAAATGCGGACTCGCAGTTCAATTGCGACGGCCATGACAACGAGTTCGTCAGCGTATTCCGAAAAGGAGAGCCTCGGCACCGAATTCCTACCTATCTACCTCTGCCCCCTTATCTGCTACCTGTCTATCCACCTCAGCTTCCTGTCTATCGATCTACCCAAGCTTCTGCGCATCTATTCATCCATCTCTCTATGTATCTATCAATATATCCATATATCTATCTATCTCTTTATCTCTGTATCCACTCTTAGGAAGTCACCATCGAGACGCCATCGGGCCAACCGTCGGGGCAATCATCGGGGTAACCATCGGGACAACCGTAGGGGCAACCTCCTGGACAACCATCGGGGCAACCATCGGGATAGCCATCGGGGCAACCGTCGGGACAAGCATCGGGACAACCAAAAGAACCTCGGTTTCCGATCCGCGGCGTCTGGTGCGCTCTGGTTTTTCAGAAGGCTTTATGAAAACGGTGCGTTCTGCGATTTCCAAGGTTTCCAGGATCTCCCACATTTCCTCACGGTCCACACGGGCTTCAGAAACCAGGGTTGCCAGTTTTTTATCGGACATCCTGGAACGTATCTTCAGCCAGTCCCACCATGACATGATTATAGTCCTGGGCCATTTTTTTTTGTTTTTCTCCCGCCGCTGGCGTCTGGCTCGCCCGCGGGCGCCCCCGTGGGCGGCGGGCGATTGCGTGGCGAGATCCGAACCGTACCCGCGTTTCCCGTCGATACAGGAGAGCAGATGGGTGGTGGGGGTTGGGGGCGGATGTCGCCACCTACATTCAACGAGGATCGGATGACCGAACGGCTTCCCAGAGTTATCCTTGCATCCTCTCCCTTCGACCCCTCCTTGGTTTCTTTCGTTGGCCGCGCCCCGTTCGCAAAATGTTCGCACTGCCTTCCAAGGCCCTCATATCATCATCGTGCATCCTTCTCGTGCGCGTTGATTGTATGGCAGGCGCCCAGCGCGCTTCAGTGTGCGTCGGGCTTCTTGATTCCGTCGCGGGTGTCCGGCTCGCCCCCGCCCGCTTTTCGCCCCGCCAGGCACTACCCTTCCGCGCTCTTCTCGGATGACGGGGGCCTGGAGGGCGGGTCGGTGCTGGGCGCGCCCCCGCGGCGAGCTGCCTGCCTCCGCGCCTTCGATGGTCGGCCATATCGGTTTTTCAACGTCTGATAACTACTACTGCTACTACCATTGCTGCTGTTACTGCTGCTGCTGCTGATATGATTATTATGTTATGAGTTTGACAATTACCACTCCTCGTACAGCAATAACTACTACCACTTCTACCACTCTTACTCTAGTGCCTTTGCTGCTACTACTACGACTACTAGTGGTAGTAGTTTTATTACTACTCCTACTACCACTAGTAGAACTGCCACCACCACCGCTACTACTGCTACTAATACTACTACTAGCATTGCCACTACTATCACCATCACCACCACCACCACCACCACCACCACCACCACTACTACTACTACTACTACTACTACTACTACTACTACTACTACTACTACTATCACTATTTGAATTGTGATTGCTATTGCTATTATTACTACTACTGCTACTGGTGCGACTACTATTACTACTACCACCAGTATTCCTACTACTACTACTACTACCTACCTACCTACCTACCTACCTACCTACCTACCTACCAACCAACCAACCAACCAACCAACCAACCACCGGTACTACTACTACTACTTCTACCACTATTTTTCCCACCACTATTACTATTACTACGAGTATTACTTCTATTACTATTACTACTACTACTACCTACTACTTCGCGCACTACCACGACGACTACGACTACTACTACCACTACTACTACTACTACTACTACCACTACTACTAGTACTACTACTACTACCACTACTACTACGATTGCTATCACTACTACTACTACTACTACTACTACTACTACTACTATTTTCACGACCACGACCACGACTACGACAACGACCACGACTGCGACTACTTGTGTTACTACGTGTAATACTACTACTCGTGCTATTACTACTACTGGTGCCATATCACCAACAACAACTACTACTACCACTACTACCACTACTACTACTACTACTACTACTACTACTACTACTACTACTACTACTACTAGTTACTACTACTACTACTACTGCTACTATTTTTTGTACCACGACTACGACTCGTACTGTTACTGCTGCTACCTTTATTGCTACTACCACTAGAAGTACTACCTCTTCTACTACTATTGTAGATATAGTTTGTATATATATATATGTATGTGTATGTTTTTCTACTACCACTACCACCACCACTACCACTACCACTACCACCACTATACCTACCACTTAAACTACCGCTACTACTACTACTTCTACTACTATTACTCCGACGACGACGACTACTACTATTAGTATTACTAATCGTGTCACCACTACTACTACTACTACTACTACTGCAACTACTACTGCCAACTACCACTACTACTACTATTATTATTACTACTACTACTACTACTAGTACTAGTACTAGTACCAATGCTACTAGTTCTATTACTACTACTACCGCTACCACTACCACTACCACGTACTAGTACTACTACGACTACGACCACTGCTTCTACTACCACTACTACTGGTGTGACTATTGCTATTGCCATTACTATTCGTACCTTTAAGGGAGAGGACGACCACGACTACGAGTACGTGTACGCCGACGACTACGACGACGACTTCTATTATGAGTGCCGCTGTTACAACTACTTCCACTGCTACTTCTGCTGCTACCACTTTTACTGCTACCACTACCACTACCACTACCACTACCATTGCTACTACTACTACTACTACTACTACTACTACTACCACTACCACTACCATTACTAGTACTACTTCCACTCCTACTGCTACTACTACTATGGCTACTGCTACTACTGCTACGACTCTTACTCATACCAGTCTGACTACTACCGAGCTACCTGTCACCACTATCACTACTGCGATTTCATTTAATAAGATATCGCCACCACTTCTACTACTACGACTACTACTACAACTGCTACAAGCACGACTACGACTACTGCTACTACTAATACGGTTGCTACAAATAATGATACTAGTACAACACACATTACTACTGCTTCTTCTTCTTCTTCTTCTACTACTACTACTACTACTTCTATTTTTTATTACCACCCCTACTACTATTATTGCTACCGCTACTGTCACTACTGTTATTATCACCACTACTGCAATTCTTTACGCTTCGCGTATCCCCACCAGCCCGTCTCACAGCAGCAACTCTCGCGAAGCATGCCGACAGTCGTGTTTTTTTTCAGGCGTGTGTCAGCTTGGCCCCGCATATCTCCCCTGTTCCTCCTTCCTCCCGCCTCCGTGTACATCCTCCTTGTGAGGGGAGCGGGAGAAGGACGAGGCGGAGGAGGAGGGAGAGAAAGCGCTCCTCGTGATTTGAGTCGTTTGGGGTTTCTCGTCCTGGTGTGAGTCGTTCGGGCCCTTCTTCCTGGTGTGAGTCGTTCGGGCTCTTCGTGGTGTGAGTCGTTCGGGCTCTTCGTCCTGGTGTGAGACGTTCGGGCTCCTCGTGGTGTGAGTCGTTGGGGTCTCTCGTCCTGGTGTGAGTCGTTCGGGCTCCTCGTTGGGCCTGTTGGCGGCCTCTTGGAGCTCTTGGGGCGTCTTGGGGGCCTCTTGGGGGCCTCTTGGGGGCGTCTTGGGAGCCTCTTGGAGCCTCTTGGGGCCTCTTGGGGTCCTCTTGGGAGCTTCTTGGGGGCCTCTTGGGGCCTCTTGGGGGCCTCTTGGGGGCCTCCTGGAGGCCTCTTGGGAGACTCCTGGGTGCCTCTTGGGGCTATCTTGGGGCCTCTTGCGACCTCCTCAGAAGCGCAAATAAGCGCTGACCCCTGAGAAGGACAAGATGAGCCCACCACCTTCGTAAAAACAATGATTTTGCTAAGAAGGAAGAGGAACGCGGCCCCCTCAGAAGGCCAAAATGGAGGCACAACGTTATTAAAATCAATGTTTTTTGCTTCAACGACGAGCTGAGGCGCCAAACTGCCTCCCCCCCCCTCGGGGCCAGAGTCCTCGTGAGGGTCGTCGTTTTTTGGCCCTCCCAGGCGTAGAAAAAGACTCCCCTGACGACGCCCGGGACTCCCTCTCCAGGTCCAGGGGGAGGGGGTAGGGGGAGGGGTAAACCCCTCCCCGAAGGGGAAGAAGTGGGGTTGAGGACAGAGCGGGCTCTCTAAACCACTCACGCCCAAAGGGCTGGTGGAACTACTACTACTGCTGCTGTTGCTTCTGCTACTGCTACAAGAACAACTAGTACCACTACTTGCTACTACTGATATTGCTGCTGCGGCTGTTGATGCGACTTTTAATGTTACTACTCGTGCTGCTACTGATATTCTTACTATTACTACTACTACTACTGCTACTACTACTACTACTACCACCACTACTACTACTACTACTACTACTACTGCTACTACTACTACTACTGCTACTGCTACTACTACTACTGCTACTACTACTACTACTACTACTACTACTACTACTACTACTACTACTACTACTACTTCTAGGCCTACTGCTACTACTACTGCTGCTGCTGCTGCTACTACTACTACTACTACTACTACTACCACCACTACCACTACCACCACTACGATTACTGCTACTATTACTGCTACTGCTGCTACCGCTGCTACCACTGCTTCTGCTTCTACTACTACATGTATTATCATTTCTATTGCTACTCTGACTACTCCTCGTAGTACTACTATCGCTAAACCTGTTGTTACTGCTATTACCACTACTGCTGACGCTGACGGCATACGACTGAGGACGCGGAGCGAATGCCGCGCTTTTGAAGCTTGCTTGTTTCCTACTTGCTTACCGTGGTGGGCTTATTTTGTACAAGGGGGGCACATCTCGGCATATTGCTTGCCTCCTGCCTGCTAGCCAACACGTGCTGCCCGCTACGTGTCGGGAACACTTTTTTGTATGGCCCGCCACACATTCTGCATTGCTTAGCGTGCAACACGTGCTTCGGACTTCTCGTTATTCACTGGACACTTATTGTTCACAGCCCGCTGCGTACTACACGATGCTCTGGCTTTGCAGGAGCCGCAGTGGGAGGGTGAAGGAATCAGGCGAGGTGGAAAGAACCTGGGGAAACGCGCGCGGGTTCAGGGGAAAGAGGGGTGAGGAGGAGGATGAGGAGGAGGAGGAGGAGGAGGAGGAGGAGGAGGAGGAGGAGGAGGAGGGCACTGCGGGTACTGATGATACGGGCCGTTTGAGGGCCCCTGCCTCGCAGGAGGAGCCTAGCCTGTGCTATCCCCTTCACCTCGAACAGTTTCAGCCCTATTACTATTACTGCTATTATTTCTACTACGACGGCGACTGCTACTACTACTGCAAATGCTAGTGTTATTCTTACTACTGCTAGTACTACCTGCTATTCCTACTGTTGCTGCTACCGTTACTTTGACCATTCCTTTTTTTCCATTCTTCGCCTTACTTTCGAGCTGCAACACGTGCTACTACGACTGCTACTACTACTACTACTACTACTACTACTACTACTACTACTACTACTACTACTACTACTACTACTACTACTACCGGTACTGCTACTACTACTACTACTACTACTACTGCTACTACTACTACTACTACTATTGCTACTGCTACTACTACTACTTCTTCTTCTTCTACTACTACTACTACTATCACTGCGAGTACGACGCTATTTTTCTCTATTTTTCGTATTTCTACGACTATTACCACTACTACGACTGCTGCTACTACTACTCCTACTGCTACTACTACAATACTCACCATTCTTGTTAACATTGATGCGACTAGAACTGTTATTATGTGTACTGCTACTACTACTACTACTACTACTACTACTACTACTAGAGTTACGACCACTTCTATTACCACCAGCACTGCCACAACTAGTATTACCACTACTACCACTACTATAATTACTTCTTTTATTTCTACTACCACCACCACTACCACTACATCACTTCTACTACTACAATCACTTCTGCTAGCATTCTTACAAGTGTACCACTACTACTACTACTACTACAACTACTACAACTTCTACTACTTCAATTATTACGCCTACATCAACTACTACTACTTCTGCGACTACTACTAGTACTTCGATTACCACTACTACGTCTACTACCATTACTACTATCACTACTTCTACTACGACGACGACCACGATTACTACTATGAGTATTGCTGCTGCTACTAGTACTACTAGTATTACTACTACTACTACTGCTGCTACTACTACTACTCCTACTACTACTACTCCTACTACTTTCACTACCAGTTTTACTACCACTACCACTACCACCAGTACTACTACCACTGCTTTCACTACTACTACTACTACTACTACTACTACTACTACTATTACTAGTATTACTATTATCATTACTTTTACCACTACTACTACTACTACGATGTATTCTTTCACGATGAGTATTACCACTGCTACTACTATCGCTACTATTACTTTACTGCTAGCAGCACTACTAGTACTACTACTCCGTGTACTTCGCTTACGACTATAGCATTACCGTGACTCCTCTTCTTCCTCCTTCTCCCCCTATTACTGCTACTACTACTACTACTACTACTACTACTACTACTACTACTACTGTTGCTGCTGCTGCTGCTGCTACTACTACTACTACTACTACTACTACTACTGCGACGACCTCTACGACTACTACGATTATTTCTATACGATTATTTCTACATTCCATCATTGTTACCATTCCGATTGTTCTTTCCATTGCAGCCACTGCTGCTACCCCTGCTACTCCTGATGCTGCTGCTACTGCTACAGTTGCTACATCAACAACAACTCTTACTATTGCTGCTACTGCTGCTACCACTACTACCGCTACTACTACGATGACGACGGCTGTTACTCCTACTACAACTATTCCTACGATTTCTGTTACGACTACTACGGCTACGGCTACGATTACGACTACGATTGCGATTGCGACTTGCGACTATTTCTATACGATTACTGCTTCTACTACTAGTACTACTACTACGACTACGACTACTACTACTACTACTACTACTACTACTACTACTACTACTACTACTACTACTACTACTACGACTACGACTACGACTACGACTACGACTACGACTACTACTACTACTACTACTACTACTACTACTACTACTACTACTACTACTACTACTACTACTACTACTACTACTACTACTACTACTACTACTACTACTACTACTACGACTACTACTACTACTACTACTACTACTACTAACTACGACTACGACTACGACCACCACTACTACTACTACTACTACTACTACTACTACTACTACTACTACTACTACTACTACTACTACTACTACTACTACTACTACTACTACTACTACTACGTTTGCCTCTGGCGCGCAGATGTCTCTGGCGCAGCTGGGGGCACCGCACGAGCCCTGCCTGCCAGGAAACAGCCCCTGGGGCTCGAGTATTCGGGGGGAAGATTGGAGGGGCCCTGGGACGCAGAAAAAAAGACACAACTGACAGGATTCCCCATATGTTCCAATAGTTTCTGGGTGTTTGGCTTCCCCCCCACTATTCAGCACGTACGACCCGCTACGTGTCGAAATCAGTTTTTGTATGTCTCGCCACACAGTCTGCATTGTTAAGTGGTTACTACGTGCCTCGGGTTTCTGGCTGCTCACCTGACACGTGCCTCGGGTTTCTGGCTGCTCACCTGACACTACACGATCATATGACCTTGCGGGAGCCGCAGGAGGAGGGGGTGAAGGAAGCGGACGGGGTGCACAGAGGCTGGTGCACCGCGCGCGGGGTCAGGGAGGAGGAGGGGGCAGGAGAAGGAGGAGGAGGGCACTGTTGGTACTGATGATACGGGCCGTTTGAGGGCCCCTGGCTCGCAGGATTTGCCTCGCCTGTGCTATCCTCCTCACCCCCGCACAGTTCCAGCCCCACAGCGGATGCGCTGGTCACTGTACCTAGCCACCAGCGTCCCCCGAGAATCAAACAGGTGCATCGCACGTCGGTCCCGATGCCACCACGTCCCCCGAAGCATGGTGCCTACCAACCTGGTAAACAAGTAAACACGTCTAGCAAAGATCTTGCAGGAGGGAAGCAACACAGGCACGATTAACCGTCGATCCCCAGGAAAATATGGGAACTACGGGAAGTGGGGGGGAAGCCAAACACCCAGAAACTATTGGAACATATGGGGAATCCTGTCAGTTGTGTCTTTTTTTCTGCGTCCCAGGGCCCCTCCAATCTTCCCCCCGAATACTCGAGCCCCAGGGGCTGTTTCCTGGCAGGCAGGGCTCGTGCGGTGCCCCCAGCTGCGCCAGAGACACCTGCGCGCCAGAGGCAAACGTAGTAGTAGTAGTAGTAGTAGTAGTAGTAGTAGTAGTAGTAGTAGTAGTAGTAGTAGTAGTAGTAGTAGTAGTAGTAGTAGTAGTAGTAGTAGTAGTAGTAGTAGTAGTAGTAGTAGTAGTAGTAGTAGTAGTAGTAGTAGTAGTAGTAGTAGTAGTAGTAGTAGTAGTAGTAGTAGTAGTAGTAGTAGTTAGTAGTAGTAGTAGTAGTAGTAGTAGTTAGTAGTAGTAGTAGTAGTAGTAGTCGTAGTCGTAGTCGTAGTAGTAGTAGTAGTAGTAGTAGTAGTAGTAGTAGTAGTAGTAGTAGTAGTAGTAGTAGTAGTAGTAGTAGTAGTAGTAGTAGTAGTAGCGTCAGAGCCTGGGGCGGCCGCCTCTCTCGCGGGCGCGCCGTGCGGAGGAGGAGGCACAAAGGGCAGGCGCGCGGGGCGGAGCCGTGCGCTCCGAGGCACGGCTCCGCAGGGAATGCCAATTCCGTCGAGTGAGGCGAACGTATGCTCCTTTCTCCTCCTCCTCCTCCTCCTCCGTCCTCCCTCCTCCTCCTCCTCTTCCTCCTCTTCCTCCTCCTCCTCCTCTTCCTCCTTCTCCTCCTCCTCCCTCCTCCCTCCTCCTCCTCCTCTTCCTCCTCCTCCGTCCACATGGGGTGGCATGTGTTTACCAGCCTGGAACACATCCCTATTCCTACGCTGGGCATCGCCTCGTCACGATGCCAATCTTAGGGATTCCCTTCTTTTTTTGAGGGCGAATCCCTACGGTTGCCATCGCCTTTCGGCGTGCCGATCTTAGGGATAGGGATGAGTTCGAGGCTGGTAAATGTGTCCCACCAACAACTCAGGGGCTTCCCCGAGGCCACCATTCCCAATGCAAAGGGGTAGTCAACACGCTCCACTGCAGATCAGGGCCAGCACAGTCAGGGAACGGGCTGCGGCTTCAGCCGCTTCCGAATGGTCTGGGCAAGGGCCTCATGCTGGATAGTGAGGATCGGCCACGCATGTGTCTTGAACGGCGATCCAGCCTACTTGAGAGCACCTTGCAGTAACTGACGCCATCGTCCGAGGCACCAGCGCAATCGATTCGAGGGTCCCCGCCCCATGCGTGCACGTGAACTCCGTACCTCGTGGTACCCAGGCACGCGCTCGCGCCAGACTAGGAAAGCCACTCGACTCCAAGTCGCGGACAGGAGCATCAACGTCACCCACGATAAAGTCCAGGGGACTGCCACCGTCCAGAGAGCTCCGAAGCCTCGTTGGGCCTCTCCGAGTTCTCCCCCCGCAGACGCCCAAGGCCGGAGCAGGGCAAACCACGCCTACGGCAATCACAGCTTGCTTCGTCTCAAGCCCGAAGGGAAGCTTGCAGACAACGGGCCCTGCGCAGGCCATAAACTCACGGCAGTTCAGTCCCCTGGACACCCCGCCCGACTCTTGCGTGGGACCCTCCTCCAGGGGTAGAAAAGGCGGGCTCCATGCCAACTGGTGGCACTTTCGCTTAGCTCAATTAGGCTTCCGTTCACGCTCAGTGTGCTGCTCACAAGAGAAAAATCTGCCGCAGGACGGGCTTGGCACACGCGCACGGCAACTGTATCCCAAGAGGTTATGTTACAGAACAGCACTCCGGCACATTTTGGATAAGGAGAGTGGACCTGTCTCGCGAACGTGAGCCCTCCCTCCACCTGGGGCGCTGCCGACGCAGCCGCCGCTCATGCTGCCGACGATGCTGCAGCGCCTGCAGCGGGCGGGGCAGCCGCCGCCGAGACGGTGGGCCCCCCCGCCCCTCCCCAGCTGGGCGAGCGCCCCGTCGGCGCCGGCGGCCGCCGTCCCCATCTGGTGGTGCGCGGTCGCTTGCTGGCCCTCGGGGCGGCCTGTCGCACCGTGCTGCTTCCGCGTTCGGGTGCGCTCAGCTTCGGTGGGGCCTGCCACGGCGACCGCTGTTTGTCACCACCCGCCAATCCACCGCAACCCAGCCCGAAGGCTTCAACTTGCCCTCCATTTCCAGTGGGGGGGGTCGGGGAGCATCGTAAAAACACATGGAACCTGTACCCCCCCAACCGGAAATGCGGGTCACATTCGGGTCTTCGGGTTGGGTTGGGGTGGTCTGGTAGGTAGTCATTTTGAGACCGTCCAGCTTAGCAACATGCTGATCAGCACTCGCGCCCTCGGCGACGTCGCCCTGCAGATCCTCATCCATCTGGGCTGAGGCCGACTGCCGCAGGAGTCTGACCGCGTCCCGGTACTGGCACCTTTTGTGGTGGACCCTGCGCCACTCCTGCAGCGCCTCTTTCGGCATGTCCACCGGCCCTTGTGGAGGTTGCTGTTGAGGAGGTCGCGCAGGATGTAGCGCAGGAGCACGAGCTTGTGCCGACAGATCCCCCCCAGCCTCAGCAGCAGGACGGGGCTTAGCAGGCACTGGATCAGGTAGATGTTGAACAGGTTGAGCAGTCCGTATGCCAGGGTCAGCACCAGGTGCAAGACCAGGAGATAGCTGCTGCTCAGCCGCACGTCGCACTCCTTCTGCACTGGCTCGGATCTTGGCACTCCCAGCACGAAGTTCGGCACGATACGCATCAACATTCAATCCACTCTTGCTGACCAACGCCTCCTGCAGCTCGCGTTGCCGTTCACCCAGCATCGCATCGCCGCTGGTTCTGCGTAGGCCGCACTGGCCCTCTGGACCAGCTCTCGATACTTGATCACCGCAGCAAGTCGGCTCTCCACGCCGCTCCGAGCCACTCGCTCCGCACGCCTCTTTGCCTTCGACTTCTTTGGACACACTACAGTCGGGGCCCTGAAGAAGGAACCCTTTTCGTTGGGGAGGGGCTCGGTGTTCCTTAAATGTTTCGCAGCTTGCCTCAGGTTTTCCTGATGTTTTCGATCGGACATCGAAGTTTAACTTATGGAAAAAAGGGGCCTCGTTCCTTATTTTGGGTTCCTTGGGTCAAGGCCCCGACTGCAGTGGGCTTGGCCGCCACCTGCTCGTCGAGCTCCTGGGCGGAGGCGGGCTCGGGGAGCGGCTCCGGCTCTGCAGCCGTCGCCTGCCTGGGTGGCCTCCCCCACGACGCCCGCCTTGGCTGGGAGCCTGCGCTCCCGTTTCCTGGCATCGCTCGGACGCGTGCATTTTTTCCTCGGCGAGAACCATCGAGGAACTTCCTGGATCATTTGGCGAAAGAACCGCGCACGAAACCGACAAAAAACACAGGGAATGGACGTCCGAGCGATGGCGAGGTTTTTCAGCTGCCGCACAGCGTTGCCTGCAGGTGCCTCACGCTCTGGTGCTGCATCCTTCGAAAGGTACTCCAGATTTCGTGATAAAAGGGAGGGGGTCACAACCCTCCCAGACGAGAAGTTTTAGACCCCCCAGACCATCCATGAAAGGGCGGCCCTTTGCCCAGACTCCCCCGAACCCTCCAAGACACCTCAAATCAGACCCGCCCCCAAATGTGACCCCCCTCACTTTATTGAATCGCTTCGCTCATTCCGCCGGCCCGTGATATGGCATCGCTGGTTTTTGTCTGTGTGTTCGTTGCCCATGTTGCGCTCTTGGGGGCGGGTGTCGTTCGGACGCGTTGCGTGGGGAGTTTTGATGGTGAAGCAGTTCCCTGGGGGTCGTCTCTCGATGGGGCGAAATAGAGTCGTCGTCAAGATGCTTCTTTGGGGGGCCTCTTGGGGTCTGTTGAGAGGCCGTTCGGGGGCGCCTGGGAGACATGTTTGAAGCCTTCTGGGGCTTCTTTTGGGCCTCCTGGGAGTCTCCTGGGGCCTCTTGGCGACATCTTGGGGCCTCTTGGAGGCCTCTTGGGGCCTCTTTGGGACCTCCTGGGCGCCTTCTGGGACGGAGGGCTCCATTTTTGAGTTCTCGGTATCCCTCCTGAGTCCCTCTTGGGCCCGTCTTGGGGCCTCTTGGTCCGTCTTGGGCGGCACTTGGGCCGTCTTGAGGGCTCTCTTGGGTCGTTTCGGCGCCGTCTTGGGAGCTTCGTGGGCCGTCTTGGAGCGGTCTTGGGGGCCTCTTGGGCCGTCTTGGAGCGTCCGGAAGCCGAAAAAGCCAGAACACAAAAAACATCGAAAAAACCAATGAAAATCAACGATTTTGGCCTCTTGGGGCTCTCTTCGGAGGCCTCTTGGAAGGCTCTTGGGGCGTCTTGGAGGCCTCTTGGGCTGTCTTGGGGGCCTTTTGGGCCGTCTTGGGGTCATCTTCGGCGTCTTCGAGCGCTCTTTGGGCGTCTCGGGGGCCTCTTGGGCAGTCTTGGGGGCCTCTTGGGGCACTCTGAGCGCGCTCTGGGGAGCCTGAGAGGCCGCACCCAGAAGGAAAACCATCTCTGAGTAGACTTGGTCGGGCGGCGGTCGGGCGGCGGTCGGGCGGCGACCGGGCGTTGGTCGGGGTACTTTTCGCCGGGGGACCCCCAGGGGCCGCCCCGCGCGCGCGAACTAGAAATACTGTTAATACTGTTAACCAGTTACCGGAGATCTTAGCACGCCCTGGCCCGTTGGGCCGGCGAATTCTGGAATCCGGAGTAGTCTCCTCCGCGCCTGCTGCAGCACCAGTTGTCACAGTTACCTGTCGAACTCCCGATGCTTGCAGAGGCTGCCGGCCGAGTAGCTCCGAGCGGTGGCATCCCGCGTGTAGCTCCGGCAGCGAGCACCGCCACCACGATCGTATTTGCGCCCACTATGCCGAGGAGTCCGCGCCGCCACGACATCTTAAGGGCGTATGCGCAGGAGCGAAGGTAGGTTACACGGAAGCTGCACTGCGGTGCCGAACAAACAATTGATAGCGTTGGCCGCGGATCAGCGGCATCCCTTCTTTGCTCGCGCAAAGCTGGAAGTTGAGCCAAGAGGTGGGGAGGAGGAGGAGGAGGAGGAGGAGGAGAAAGGATGATGAGGAGGATCACGAGGCGTAGTTTGAGGACGAGCAGAACGGAGGAGGAAACGGGATGGGCAGAAGGAGGAGGGAGGAAGACGATGAGGAGGCGTGAGGTGGAGGCGCGGCGGGCCTCGTTCCCATCCATCCCGGGCCTCCCCTGGAACGTGTTCTGACCTGGATTTCGGAGCGGATGTAGCCGTGGCAGCTGTGAACCTCGGGGCCCCCCACCCCCAAAGGCAACAGCAACATTGCAGCTCCTCCAGCTCGCCTTTCTCGTCGTCTTCTCCTCATCTCCCCCTCTAGAGGTGGCGGCATCGGCACCGTTGGCGTCGTCGTCGTCGTCGTCGTCGCAGTCAGCGTCAGCGTCAGCGTCGACGTCGACGTCGTCGTCGTCGTTGTTGTGGGCTTCAGTGTTGCCGTCGCCGTCGTCGTCCCCGTCGAGGTTGTGGACGACCGTCGTCGACGTCCTCGTTCTCGTCGTCGTCCACTGGGGCCGTCTCCAGGCTAGTGCGTTTGCCCCGCCAACAGGGCTCTTTATGTGGGGCGTTTGCTCTTGCAGCACTTGGATCTAAACTTGTTTTGTCTCGTAGCTGGGGGGAAACACTGGGTCCGATAGTTCTTTGCTTTGCTCGTCGTCGTCGTCGTCGACTTCGTCGTCGTTTGCTTCAGTGTCGCCGTCGCCGTCGTCGTCGCCGTCCAGATCGTCGAGGCTCGTCGTCGACGTCGTGGACGACGCCCCCGTCGTCGACGTCCTCGTCCTCCTCGTCGTCTCGGCAGCGCGCTCGGGGGGAGGTGCGAAGGATCAGGCCCTCTCAGAAGGCGGCGGGGCTTCTCAGCAGTCCCTTGGCCCTCGGAGACGCTTTCCGTGCCGCAGGGGAAGGCATCGTTTTTTTTTTTTTTTTTTTTTTTTTCTCTCTCCGAAGGCCCGAGGCCCTCCGAGTCTTCTGAGAAGGTCTGCTCCTCCTCACTACCCCCCAAGGCGCGCCGCCGATCGTCGTCGCCGTCGTCGTCGTCGTCGTCGTCGCCGCCGTCGTCGTCGTCGTCGTCGTCGGCGTCGTCGTCGCCGTCGCCGTCGCCGTCGCCGTCGCCGTCGTCGCCGTCGTCGCCGTCGTCGCCGTCGTCGCCGTCGTCGTTGTCGTCGCCGTCGTCGTCGCCGTCGTCGTCGTCGACGTCGTCGTCGTCGTCGGCGTCGCCTCCGCCGCCGCCGCCGCCGCCCCGCGAGGCGGCGGCTTCGGTGGCGCGCCGCCCTCCGCCGCCGGCTACGGCAGCGGCGGGGGCGGCGGCGCCGCGTACGGCACGCCGGGCCGGGCGCTGGGCGCCTCGGCGACGCCGCTCGGAGTTCTGGACGCGCCCGAAGTGGGCACGGAGGGAGTGGGTGCGATTCGAGGCCCGAAAACCATCACGTCACTAATTTTGGGCCCCAGGGCCCACTGAGGCCCCAGGGGCCCCACATTAGTGAAATGATGTTTGTTCCCACGCGAGGACCCCGAAATTCATCACTTCACTAAACCGAACCCAGGACGAAAGTCAGGGGCCGAATTGCTGCTGTGAAGCAACATAGGTCTCGCATGCGATGCCCAGCAGCAGTTCTTTTTCTTCATTCTGAGCGGGACTCGCTGCCCGCGCCGCCGCGGCCTGTGCCCACTCGAGACCCGGGGGTCGCCGGCCCAACAGCGGCCGCTGTTGCTTTGGGACAACACTGGCTGTTGGGCATTGTGCCCATTCTTTTCGGGCGACGAGATCTATACATATCCACTGCTCCCTGGCCAGGCCCATCCTGAACCCAGGAGCTGTGTATATGCCTCCCTGGCCAGGCCAGGAGGGCGTGGCGTATACACCGCTGCGGGGTTGTGGATGTGCCTGGCCAGGGAGCAGTGGATATGCATAGATCTCGTCGCCCTACTCTTTCCGTACCCACTTCGGGCGTCCAAATGTCAGATCTCCAGGGCCCATTTCTCGGCGGCGCGCCCCTGGGGGGGAAGGCGTTCGAGCAGGTTCCCGTGTCCTCCTCGGCCTCGGGGGGGGCGGCTCCCGGGCCCCGGGGCTGTCGAAGACGAGCCCAGGACCGAGAGCTGCGCAGGGTGGACCCCCAGCGGGGGGTCCTCCTCCTCCTCCTCCTCCTCCTCCTCCTCCCCCTCCTCCTCCTCCTCCTCCTCCTCCTCCTCCTCCTCCTCCTCCTGGGACCGAGTCTGAGCGGATCTGGCCGTATGCGTTTCTCGGCTGCGCGCCCGGTGGGGGAAGTGAGAGGGAGAAGGCCTCCTCAGGAGGCGGCGGGCCTTGTCAGAAGTCTCATCGCGCCAACATCGCAGAGCGGATTTGGCTCGGAAAACGACAGGATGGACCCAGGGTGCCCTGGAGAATCTCGTTCTGGATTTCGAGGTAAATTTTGCGCTGATAGTTTCTTTTGCCAGGAATGAAGAGCAAAATCAATCCAGGCGAAATGCACTTTGTGTTTTTCGCTCGCCGCTTCGGGCACAAATCCACGCAGAAATCCGCTGCAGCACGTCTGCAAGGCCAGTGCAATGAGAAGTCCCGCCAACTTCTGAGAAGTTTTCCGTGCCTTCGGGGGAGGCGTGGGAAGCCTCTCAGAAGCCTCGAGGCCTCCCGAGTCTTTGAGGGCCCGTCCCCTCTCACTTCCTCCCCAGGCCGGCCGCCGACAGATCTCCAGGGCCCACTTCGATTCGATCGGTCTCATCCGATACTTCGCAGGCCCAGAGGTTGACACCGAGACCAAGATCGGCGGTGTGCCTCCACCGTGGGAAGCATATCCCGATCTCGGTGATGGTGGTCATGTTCTGGCTTCCCAAGTGACCGAAACATGAACACCAGCGCCTAAATCTCGGATCACCTTCCCCCTGTGGAAGGCAACCCCCCCTTGTGTTGGCGTTGGTGCCCACTTCCAGGCCTCCAGTGATTGCTCCTGGGCCCAGGTCTCCGACGGTGTGGTCTTCGCAGGCTCTCGTTCCTCCGCAGGGTCTCGGGCGCTCCCGCGGCCGATTGCCGCCGAGTTGCTCCCATCACGATGCGATGTTTGGCTACGACTTGCAGTGCGCGTGTGTCGCTGTGCTTGCGTGTCTGCGTATCGTGCGTGTGGGCAATAGCCCCCCTGAGGTGTAGCGGATTTCTCGATCTGCTGCTCCTGGTCGTTTTCGGGGGGGGGGCTCGTTTTCGGAAGCTCTCGCCGGCTCCCGGAGGTTTCCTCGCCTCGGGATGCTTTCCAGCAGCGGCGCCTCGCCGCGAGCGTTCGAGGGGGGTTAGTGGAACTGCCAGGAGCGGCCGCCGGAGGCCCGAGGTTGGCCCGGAAGCTCAGATCTCCGACGAGGACTTTTTTTTTTCAGTCCCGGCGTTTTCCTCGCTTCGGCCTCTGGGGGCCGTCGATCGGGGGCGGAAAAGAGGGGGGTGATGACTAGGGGGGGGGTGGATCTCATGGCGGGGGCCATGCTATTTCCCCAGATTTCATGGCGCCTCTTCTCATTTCATCACGTCCCTGGCCCCCCCGCTGGGCCGCGCACATGCCGCCGGCCATGATTTGCACCCCCCCCTCTTGGACACCCCCCTCTTGGCCGCTCCCGAATCGAGAACGGACTCAGGGCGAAAAACTGCACCCAGGGGAGGGTTCGGGAGTTTGTGGGGCCTTAGGCTGTCTGTTCGAGGAGGGGAGAGATGCGGCCGACGCGAGGGTTCATTATTCGAAGAAACAACAGCATGCATGAACATAAAATTTTGTTGGCGCGCCGCGCGGTTTTCTTGGATCTGCGCTGGGCCCTCCCAGCGGCGCATCGTTTACGTTTATATGCCGTCTTTTGCCCGTCCAGAAGAGATGCCTGAAGCGAGGGTTCAGAATAGCCCTTGCTCTGGAGGGGTACGGACCCGGGGGCCTCTGAGTCAATAGGGTTAGCTTGGGGGACAGGCGGGGCAACTGCAGGAGCTTCTGTATTGCTGATCATGCAGTACATGTAGCAGTATATCGACTTGAGTAACATAATGTCAGTGGTATGAACATACACCGTGTAGGAATCTGTTGGAGGCGGCTCCTGGAGTCTCTACAGCCGGGTACCCTCGTGATCTGCGTGCCTGGGTTCTCCGCCTCGTCATGGCCTCGGGTTGCCCCCTGGGCCTTGGGCCTTCGGCGAGGGGCTCGCCCGTCGGCCGCTGAGAGCAGGTGCTTCGGGACTGCCAGGTCCCAAGCTGCTCTAGGCGCCTTCCTACTTCGGTCGGCGTCGCCCCAACATACTACTACTACTACTACTACTACTACTACTACTACTACTACTACTACTACTACTACTACTACTACTACTATTACTACTACTACTACAACTACCACTACTACTACTACTACTACTACTACTACTACTACTACTACTACTACTACTACTACTACTACTACTACTACTACTACTACTACTACTACTACTACTACTACTACTACTACTACTACTACTACTACTACTACTACTACTACTACTACTACTACTACTACTACTACTACTACTACTACTACTACTACGACTACTACTACTACTACTACTACTACTACTACTACTACTACTACTACTACTACTACTACTACTACTACTACTACTACTACTACTACTACTACTACTACTACTACTACTACTACTACTACTACTACTACTACTACTACTACTACTACTACTACTACTACTACTACTACTACTACTACTACTACTACTACTCTGGGCTTCTTAATAATAAGCGTGGGCGAGTATCCCCCCCCCCGACGGGGGCCAAGCTCGCCTCGTCGTCGCGCTGCGACGGGTGTCGGAGCGCCTTCGGCGCGCGGTGGCTGCCCGCGACGGGGGTCGATGCGGGGCTGTCGGCGGGGGTGACGCACCTCGACGCTTATTAAGAAACTCGGAGTATGTGTGCTTCGCCCCGCGTGCGGGCCCGGCTTCCCCCTTTGTCCCCGCCGTCGCCGGGCGCCTCCTCCTCCTCCTCCCCTTGCACGGTGGCCCCATTCGCGCACCTTCAGCCAGCGCAGTCACTCTGCCCAGCCGCCGACGCCAAAAGTGTCTCGCCCCGCCAGGGGCGACGCCCGCACCGAGAAATCTTGCAGTAGATGTGCCGTGGCGGGCGCTTTCTGGCCACACCGCTCGGGAAACGATATACTGCAGTATGGGTCTACTACATGTTCGGGTCGGACGCGCGCCTCCAAGGATGACACATCATATTAGCATGTCTCTGTGCGCCCCATTGCCAGATCCCAATCTGCTCTAGGTGCCTTTCTACTTCAGGTGTCGAGCGGTCTTGCCTCTGCCCTCCTCTCCAGGGGGCGCGCGGAAGCCCAGTCTGCTTCCAGCGCCTTCCTGTTTCATGCTTCCAGCCACTCCTTCCGACAGACGGGTCATGTTCGGGCGATGGCAAACATGGATCAAGGGGGCGTGGATTAGCGACTGTTTCCGTTTCCACGGGAAATCGCAGATTTCCGCCGCCGAGCGAGGCGGCACCGGCCGCATTTTGGGGAGGGCACCTCCTCCGATCCATGGATTTGGCGACCGCGCGCCAAATCCATGGATCGCTAATTCATGCTTGCGCGCCCCCCACACTGGTGCATCGCCGGTGCGTCGGCGATGCGGCGCGTCCCCTCCTTCTCCTCCCCTTCCGCCCCTCCCCCCCTCGCCCCCCACCCCCGCGCCCGACACCGGCACCGGCGCGGGTTAATGTGGCGGCGGCAACGGCCGCGTTTTGGGACGTTCTGGAACGGCCGTGGCGCCGGATACATCCTCAAGACCCGCCAGCTCTCAGAGATTTCGGATTGTTGCTCGTCCGGATTTGTCCTCATCGTGCTTTCGTCGTGTGGCTTCGCCTCGGGAGTCGGGTCAGAGCGCAGCCCATAGGAGAGGTCTGGGGACTCGGCGGCATCTTTACAGTCGAGTTTGATGAGTAGGTCGACCCTGCCAAATCAGGGATACCCTTGTGTCCTGCCTTTAGCGACCCATGCCTCCTACATTCCCATGGCAATGTGGGCCTCGGAGGGGCCTGGTGTCCTCTCGCGTGTCCTCTCCAACCGAACTCGACTGTTTTCTTTGCTGCTCCGCCAGTTTGAGGCCAGTCTGCCATCGGGCCACTGTGGGGGATAGGCCAAGTGGGGAATGCATCGACCCCCGATCGCCCATTCATCGCCGAAAGAGAACTGCCCAGCTCAGGAACGTGTGGTTTCGCTATCGAGAGCCTATCGCCAATCTATCGGCGATATATCGTCGATTCCAGGTGGATGATTCCAGGTCCACCCTGACGCTCCTCCTCATGGCCAGCCCGCACTCGCAGGCCACCAGCCAAAACTTGTGCCAAATGTCCGCGTACGA